CGTTTTTTTTAAATAGCTTTTTTTTTTTTTTTTTGGTAGTACTGGAGATTGATCCCTCATACATACTGAACAAACGCTCTACCACTAAACAACACTCTCAGCCCTTTTAAAAATTTTGAGATGGGTCTCACTAAGTTGCTCAGGCCAGATATGAATTTGAGATTCTCCTGTCTCAGCTTCCCAAGTGCTGGGATTGTAAATGTGTGACACTATACACAGGTAGGACCATGTATTCTGATAAGGTTCAGGCTGCATACAATAGCAGGTCCAAAACTCTTCATTCAGGATACCAGAATCCCTATTCTAGAAGATGATATAGAGAGGCACAATCAATCCAGCAAGGGCAGCCAGAACTTGTGAAATAGATATACTAGCTCAACTTCTGAATTTATCCTTTAGGGTCCCATTTTGACCCTAGCGCTAGAGACTTACATAAATTGCGCCTAGTTGGCTTCTGTCATTATCAAATAACTGGTAGTAATGTTGAATGAAGCTGGATCCAATCTGCTCCCAAATTGGCTTGTCTCCCATTCTGGAGTGTTGCCCAGTGTCAATGAGACCTGCAAAACCAGGGAGACAAAGAGAAAAGCATTGGTACTGCAGAACAGGAGATAGCAGCTGCTGACTTCTACTACTATTTCCTGACCTCGGGGCACAGGGGTCCTTTGCTCAGGTCTGTTGTCTCAGGAAACAGGGTCAGGCCCTGGGGATCAGGCTGGAGTCTTTTTTTAATGGATCTTTGTTTCTTTCTTTCTGTTTGTTTTTGAGACAGGATCTCACTATGTAGTTCATGCTGGCCTTGAACTCACTATGTAACCCAGGCTGCCCTCAAACTCATAGCAATCCTGCCACAGCTTCCCAAGTGCTGGGATTCTACACAGGCATGCACCACACCTGGCTGGTACCAGTGCTGGACCAGTACTGGGAACCCAGAGGATGAGATTCAGCCCTTCCTTTGAAGAGCTCCTGGTTAGAGGAGATAGAGGAGTTGAGATAAAGGAGTGCCAGGGTTTCAAAAGATACAGGTTGGGTGCTGAGGGTGGAGCTATGACAAAAGAAAATCAGAGCAGGCCCTACAATGTCCAATAAGGGGAAGGGCCTTGAAGGAAGAGTTAAGCACTTAAGCCACAGCCCATATTTTTAAATTTAATTCTCTCAACAACCTGTAAGGCCAGTTATTGTTATTCCTCCCACTTTGTAGATTAGAAAACTACTAATTTCTATTCCAGCCCTTGGGTCCCCAGCACTGTGCAAGGTCTTTGTTGACAGGTCAAGGTTCAGGGCCTCACTTTTGGGGGGGAGGGGTAATGGTGATTCAGCCCAGGGCCTTGCATAAGCTAGGCAAGTGTTGTATCACTGAGCTACATCCTCAATCCTCAAGTTCCCACTTCAGACAAATAATCAGTGGCCCCATTGGTCTCAAGGAGGCAGTTGACATCTGAAGTCAGGTGATACCTGACTTGGCCCTTTCTGGGACATTTCTTCATTGATGAGGATGGACTCCTCCCTACTTTAGAGCTAGGGACATGAGCATAGCTGAGGGGAGTGGGGAAGTGAAATGTGTCATCTCTTTACCACATCCTCCTCCATCCTAGTACCACCTTCATTGACACAGGCTCTCTGAGGAGTTTCCATGCTAGAAACCATGATCCCAAGAACTCAGGGCAAAGCCTGAGCTGGTTTTGCTAGGCCCTTCCCAGAGTGGGAGGCCTGTATCTCCCTGGGGACTCAGTACTGCTTGTTCTGTAGTGGTCTGTAACATAGAGGAACACACACCCTGTCCTGACATTAAGCCAAAGCAGTGACGAGGTAAGTTTAGCAGGGGTCAGATCTGTTGTAGGTCACTGACTAAATGGACTTCCTTCTTAACCCCCTCTTCTGTAAAATAGAGACCTTAACCCTGATGATGTTGCCTGAGGTTATATAGGTGCTGAATGAAAGAACCTGGTAAAGTCCTTGCTCTATATGGTTAACTGCTAACTCACTCCATTTCTGTGGCCTAATCCAAGGCCAGAGAAGCCACTGGGGAGGGGCAGTATAGAAGACAGCCAATCCCCCAGTCTATGACCAATACTCCAGCCAATGAAGGGCCAGGAAAATAAGCCAGCTTTATTTTAGGTACCCTAGGAGGTAGTGACACTAAAAATAGAAGCTCATTGCTGGGATGACTAAGAAATGTTCAGGAAAGTCTAAAACAAGCAGAGGAGAAAGTGTGGATCCGGCCATGCATGTACATAGGAAAACAAGTGTATCCCAGGTCAGACTGCCAAGAAACAAATCAACAAGCAGGAAAGGTGCAGGACCCATGTATAGTTTCAGGTGCTGTGTCAGTCACTTTTCCAAAGAGTTAGACTGGCTGTACCCCCACACAAATATGGAATACCTGAGTCAGAGCACAGGTCCCCAACCCTGAGTCTCTGCCCCTTCTACCCTAGTACGCACTGTGCTCAGCTCACTAAATGTGTCAAATCCACACACCCCGCCACAAGATGCCTGGCCCAGTCCCTGAGAGTGCTTGAGGCAGGGGGAAAGCTGCAGGAATACCTAAGGGCTATCTCTTCAGCCCACAGAAAGGTGGGGCAGCCTTCAGGAAAGGTCTTAGACTCCCGGTGACAGGCAAACTTTTAGAGACAAGTGCTCAAACTGCAACCCCATTTATTGCAAACTCATTTATTTATCACAAAGTGCCAACACTGCAATTAAACCTGCATACTTCCAGGCATGGTGGTGCACATCTGTAATCCCAGCACCCTGGGAGGCTGAGGCAGGAGGAACTCTGCAAGTTCAAGACCAGCCTGGGTTTTTGAGACCCTGTCTCAAAAACAACAACCAAAAATACACCTAAAAAAAAAAAAAAAAA